TCCAGGCTAAACAAATCCAATTTTTTCAATCTTCCCTCATAGGTCATGTTTTCTAGACCTTTAATAATTTTTGTTGCTCTTCTCTGGACTTTCTCCAGTTTGTTCACATCTTTCCTGAAATTTGGCACCCACAACTGGACACAATACTCCAATTGAGGCCTAATCAGCGTGGAGTAGAGCGGAAGAATGACTTCTCGTGTCTTGCTTACAACACTCCTGCTAATGGTGAAGCAGGACTCGATTACGCTATAGTCACCCATACAAGTGATTCTGGAAATCCAGTGGAGTTTGAAGTGGGGGGTGGGAGAGAGGGAAGATGGATATATTGTTAGTATCTACATTTTTAATATTTAGTTTAAATTTTTGTTAAGGGGCATGAAACACTATCCTTTAAACAAAACAAGATTGATCCTTAGGCTCTCTCATTAAGAATAATTTAGATCACAAAGTCCAAATCTGTGTCAAACAGTTCCCCCAATTGTCATTAATGTCATTCCCTTTCCTCATAGTCAATGGCGGATTAGCCACTGGGCCAACGGGGCCCATGCCCAGGGGCCCTGGCCAATTGGGGAGCCCCAGAAAAATGGGTGTCCCCATGCCCCGATCCGCTCTGCCCGCCTGGCGCTCCAGCCAGGGAGTGGGATCGAAGCATGGAGGCTTTCCCTGCTCTGCCCACTCGGCACCGGGGGGCAGGTGGGTGGGCAGAACAGAGCAAGCCCCCGTGCGCTGACTCCGCTCCCCAGCTGGAATGCTGGGCAGAATGGGGCAAGCCCCCAACCCTACTCCTGTGAACACCGTGAGAGGGGTGAGGGGGACTCCCAGGGGCCCCACAAAATGCTAATCTGCTCCTGCTCATAGTGAGAGTCCAGCTGTATTTCTTTTGTTGTATATGATTTGCATCATGTTATCACAATGATGTCACATAGTATCAGAATTTCAGAAGAATTCCATCTTCAAAACTGTCTGAAAGCAAAGATGTATTGAGAACAGAAAATACTGAAATACATTTTTCCATTGTATCTTATTTAGAAATCCCCACTAGATACAAAATAAGGGTTGTTACATCTCAGCCTCTTGAATACAGCAAGGATATTTGGAGCAAGTCTGAATTAAGACTCTAAGATGTAGTGCCACCTCCTGCCTTTCCGGTATTATTAAAAGAAAATGGTATACTTTCTCCTAGTGGGAAATAGAAAGGGTGACTAAAATCATTGCCATGTGATCAGAAAGTCACTTTATACATAGGAAATTTCTTTTTAAAGTTATAAATAGGGTTTCCATTTTCAAATTTAAATACCACTCAGCAAAAATTTCAGAATAGCTTTTGATGAAACATACACCAAAAATACCCCAAATCTTAAATTCGTGCATTGTTGAAAATTGTTTGCAGAGGGAGTCTGTGATCCTTACAGATCTACCATTCTCACGATGCCTTTGAACCCACAAACTCTTACACTTGTATAACGCAACAGAGGGTCCTGTGGCACCTTTAAGACTAACAGACTTGCATCTGAAGAAGTGAAGTTCTTACCCACGAAAGCTTATGCTCCCAATACTTCTGTTAGTCTTAAAGGTGCCACAGGACCCTCTGTTGCTTTTTACAGATTCAGACTAACACGGCTACCCCTCAAAGAAACTGCTCTAGTGTACCTAAGCTAGAGTACGCTAGCGTACTGTAGCTACCTAAGTAGGCAGAATCTAGCAGTATGAAAAAGCTGAAAGATTGCATCTATCTTTGAATATTGTCACTTGCTCATCAATTTCAGAATAGATTTTAAGAAGAAGATACCTTAGTATATCAGTGAAATACAGAGAAATAGGAGCTTTGGATGGATTTTGGTTGCTTATGTAGCTACTTACATAAAAATGTCACATTATTTATGTTCCTTAAATTTGATTTGCCCACAATATTACTGAGCATTGACATTTCCAAATATATTGTTTTAATAAGAGCATGAGTCAAAATTATCAGGTAAGTGTATATACTGTAGTAATGAAAAACACCACTCACTATGGTCAGCTTTGAAAATCCATTGTTAATTAACAGCATTCAATTCTTAATTGTTTTTAACAGTTCAGTTGAAATTGTTGACACAAAATACATTGTTAAACAGCTTAATCAATCATTGTAGAAAAATAGAGGTGTTTGATAGGGACATTCTAGTACAAAGTTTCTGTGAAGCTTCCCAGTTGAAAGCCTTGGAGACTTTTCATTTTTAAGCTTACGTTACAAAAATGAGATTTTTTGTAAACTTTACATTTCATACCACATGAATAGCAAAGACCATGAGAGACAGAGAGAGACCTTAAACTTTAAGTGCCCTAGTCACAAAAATATAACTTACCCATGCACATGCCCCACTAGGATAAAGTCTATTTTTTTGTACTAAAGGGCACAAAAAGGTTTAAAAACCGCTGTTTTATTGAACACGACAAGCTCTTCTTAATGGATTATAGAATGGCCCAGTAAATTACAAGAGCAAAAAGCAGATTCATCCTAAGAGGCGTTCTTTGCTTTAAACTCATGTACTACAGGCTGACACACACAGGCGGCCCCCCCCCCCCCCCCCCGCAGGCTGTGCTTCATTACTTTTAGCAAGTACCTTTGCTACGGAGTTCTCCCTTATAAGATTACCTCTGATATGTGACTACCGTTCTCCAATGAAATTTCAGAGTGACTCTTCCCTTAAAACACCTTAAGAAGCATGCATACACCCTGCTCTACTGTGTGAATTCCTTGGCTCTCAAGAGCAGCCTTAAAGACAGGGTGTGCTGTATAAACCATAGTACTGAGCAGGTTCGGACACTGTGTCAGTAAACAAAGGATACCATTGAATTTTAAAAGGGTCTGTAGCAAAACCAGTTTTTTCGCCAAACTAAATGAAAATAAGCAACAATCTGTAACTACCTGATGAAATCAGTCATCCTGGTGGAGGGGATAAAAATACATCTTTTGAACAATTGCTTAAACTGTGGAATTGTATGAGTAGCTTCTTTGTGAAAACCTGTTAGGGAAAATTTTCAGAAATAAAGCAGACACGAGGCCTAGCTGTTTTGATTGGTGTGATCGAGGTGTGCAAACCTCCGCCTGGAGGCAATCATAGCTGTAGGAGCCAAATCAACTCTTAACCACTCAATGAAAATAAAGAATGGGCAATTGTGTTGCAGTAAAAACAGTGTATAGATGTGAAATTAATGTGAAGGATATATCACAGTGCAAAATTTCCACCTGCCCACTAGGTTTCTCCTGAGGTTTTTTTCTTCTATTTGAATTTAAAAGCTTCTGTACAAACAAAACCCAAAATAACTTTAAATTCTTTTCAGTGTATTTTTCCTTTCCAGACTAGGCAGGTTCAAAAAGAAAATTAAGGCTGCAGTTTGTTTTTCTCTTGACTGAGGGAAATGGTACTCTTTATGGGCCAGAGCCAAAGCCCATTGAAGTCAATGGGAGACTTTTATTTGAATTAATACTATTTTATGCACACAGGGCTGATGCAACAATCTTTACAGAGAGTAATACCATACACTGTGAGTCACCCCACACTGAGTGTATTTGAGAAGTTAGGTACTACTCTGTGGGCCAGATGCTCAGCTGGTGTAAATCAGGCAAATCATCATAGTTCTGGTGCATCAAATCAAAATTATTTAAATCAGCCTGAGGATTTGGCCCAATATGAGTAAGGGTGGGAGGGTCCACTCACCTGGATAGAGTTGTCAGGAGTGGGCTTTTATATGAGAAACCCTGATGAAAATTACCTAGGGCCATAAAGCCTTTTGGGAATTTTCAGGACCAACAAAGTGCTAATGATGTTAACAAATGAATCTCATTGACTACAACTTCAGATGAAATTCAATTCTTTCTTCCCAGACCGAGTAGCTAAAAGTGTTCTCTACTTAGCGTATGAATAACATTCAGAATTTTTAATGGCTTATACTGTTTATATAGAAAACTACATAGTTTTAATCCAATGGTTTAGGTAGTGCACTTACAGGGTCCTAGCCCAACATGAACATGCTTTTTATATTAACAGTGTACTAGAGATTCTTGTGTTTTCCAAGAATCTGCCACAGTCTAATTCAGGCTGAACTGCCAAAAGTAGCCAGGAATGGTTTACCCTATAATATTACAAAAGATAGAATCATTTTTGTAAACAGTTTCACAGTATATCAGTAAAGTTTCAATTTCTCCACCCTGCCCTCCCCCCAGATTTATGGCTTTTTAGAATCAGTAAAATGATTTGTTAGGGAAACAGTGAGGTCTTCTAAATAGCTGCCAGTCTGGTACACTGAAGAAAATGTTGTGCACTAAAAGGGCCAGATATATAGGGGAGAAACTAATATACTCCAAATATTAAAACAGAAATGCCTATTCAGTTTGTTGCATCCCAATATTTCTAGAATTATGTATCTAAACCTACATTAATTACACATCTATGTACATTATTTAGAAGTTCTTTACTACAGTACTTTTGTACATGCTGGGTTTATTACTAAATTTAAAGAGAAAGTCATTACATAAGGCATATATACAGTATCCTGTTGAACTGCAGCTCTTTCTGCTCACCTCGGTCTTAAAGCTGCAATGCCCATTTTCATTGGAGGCATCACATCCTGTTTATGAAACTGTCTTGAAATATATAAAAATTAGAGCCAAGGCCCATGGTATTAGCAAACATTAATCACAGTCTTTCCTTTTATTATCCCAGATACTGAGTCTTGCTCCCCCCCCCTTTTTGGTTCCTTTTTAAACACACCTGTGGTTATAAACTTCTATTTATCCAGAGGAAATATGCAATTATTGGAAGGGCAGTGATCAGAGATTTCATCGTATATAAGGGATATTGCAGCTTTAACCCACGTCTTTGCTTATTTTATGAATCTCTTGATTTGTTTGGGCAGGTAGACATTTCAAACCTTAAATATTTCTTTTCTTGTCATCATAATAAAAAAAGGGAAGGATCAAAAAGAAAAAAGAGGTTGTGTGGTGAACCTCTGCTGGTTCAAACTTTGGATTCATTCTCTAAGTTTGCCACGTCACCATTCCTTTCAGTTTGGTCTTCATGGTTCTTTCCCCTCTCTTCAGTTTCCAGGTCAGCATGCTGGTTTAGTTTGCTGGACACAGACCAAGTCAGGGGCAGTTCTGCTCGGCTGGCCATCTCTGCCAGGTCTTTGGCACTGTAAGACGGTGTGTTGGTCTCATATGTTTCATGAAAGCTGTTGTAATCAACTTCATAAAATCCATCCTCCAGCGTGAGGACAGGTGTAAAACGATGACCCCACAGGATCTCGCTGGTTACGTAAGAACTTCGCGCTTGGCATGTCATTCCTGTAAAGAGAGAGGGAAAAAATTGTAATACGGACCGAATGCCCCAAAATGATTCTTGTTGTTGTAGTTTTACATAGCCTTTGGGTTGTACTTAGCACTGCATGATAGGAGTGATATGCCAGACAAGTCACAAGTTCATTGCCCCTCGACAATTAAAACTAAGCAAAAATTCACTATGTGTCATTTGCCAAACTTTACCTTTATTTTTTGTGGGTATGGTCCACAAAATTCTCACATTTATTTTTTAGTTGGACGTAGTCTTGAATTTCATCAGCAAATAATTCTGAGTCTGCAGATGAATCACAATCAGTTTGCTGAGACTAGTAATCTTGTTTATTTTGTTCCTTGATGGAGGACTTGTGTAACTAACTCTGCCTAGATTAGCTGAAGAACTAATACAAAAACCTTTACTCTGGTTGAGCTGCCCACAGAGAGTCTGACCTAGGGACCAACTTTGTCTTGCCCAAAGATTTGGGACACCCTTAAAGTTAAGTCACTCTGAACCTCAGACTGACAGTCTACTCAGAAATTTTAGCAAATGTCTCAAGTTTACATTGTGAAAAGTTGTGGCATTGGATGAAAAGGACTGGGATAAACTTCTGCCTTAACTTTTCTTCACAATAAGGCTTCCACTGGGACTTTTGCCCTTTGGAATGCTGGAAGGGGCATCAACCCTGAGGAATCCTATGGATCTTGTTAAGGAAGCTTGGGGAAAGCAGCCAAACCAAGTTCAAACTATAGTCCAGTATGTCCTCTAGATGAGGAAATGTCTGGCCACAGTGTAGAGATTTGCTCAGGAGAACCTACCTCAAATCAAACTGACCCGAGGAAGGCACTGTAATAAAGGATTAAGGGAAAGGAACATACTGGTTGTGGTAAGGGACAGGAAAAAGTGTAAGGAATGGGGGATTGAAGGTTACAAAACCATTTTCCCCAAAAAGTGGGATTATGAGGTGATGATGTAGCAGTTTCCCTTAAATAATTTCCACATTGTTTGCACAATTTTTGAATAACGGTGGCCATTCAACTAATATAATATGGCAAGAAAACATAATGAGTAGCAAGATCATGTAACTGAAGAACAGAAAGTGAAACTATTTAGGAGAGAATCCTAGGCAATAAAAAAAAAAAGAATGTTCAGTTTGGAGATAATAAAATGCAATCATTAGGATCTCACATTGCAACTCTGCAGGTGCTCCTGCCAGTCAAGTCACTCAGGGGGTTTCAGGAAGTACATAAGCTAGTGGCTGGGTATTTTGATTCTTTCCAGGGATATACAAATTGCCTTAGACAAAATAATATTGCCCCTACCCCGTTTGATCCTTTTCTCCAAGCTCAAGCAGAATCATTGTTGAGGTCTGAAAACATTTAGTTGTCCTCTGTACTTTATCATTACTTTTGATTTTCACTTATATTGGTTGCCAGTAAAAAGACATTTACCGACACTTGCCACACTGTGGTCCTTCTGCAGCATTCCCCGTACTTAGAATTGCAAGTAGTTGCAGCATCTCTGCTGTTGCAGGGTGGTAACTGTTGGTGAAGGCTTTCTCGTGATGATTGCCGTACCGCTGTTACCCTTCCCTTTTTGTCAGGAGCAGCAACAGAGGTGCCGAAATATCACGAGAGATTGGTTTCACAATGTTTGCTACCCAACAACAAGAAGAGGGATCCTAGAAATCTTACAAGACATCCTGTTCTAGGGAGATTTCTACTGCAATTTCAGTCTAAAGAGGGTCTTCTACTTTTTGATAATTTTGCGGTAAGCATCAAACCATTTGCTCATTTGAACTGAACCTCCAGGTATTTGAAGAGTCATTCATCCGCTCAAACTTCATGAAAACTTCTCTGTGAAATGAAGGGCAAAGTGTGGAGATATGTATTTTTCAATTTGTCTATTACCCAGTGAGTGAAACATAAACCTTCCCTGTTCACCCAAGTGAGGGAAAGAAAGAAAGATTTTTTTTTTTGGTGGGGTGGGATGTTCTTATGTTCTTATGGATGAAAATGAGGTTGCTTCATCCAGGTTGCCTGGGACCTTCATAGAGAGTGAAGACCTGAAAACCAGAGACAGGATCAATGAGCAGGGAAACTGATAAACTGATATTCTTTAGGGTTTATCTGCTACTTTTCACTTCTGTCCCTGCAATTCGAGACTCAATCTCTTGAGTTTCTGGAATATGTTTCTGGAGTATGAGCTCTCGGAGATTCTGGGTCAAATTTTGAAAGCGGGGTAAAAATTAATCCACAAAAATGTCTGCAAACAATTAAAAGAAACTGCTTAAAAGAAAATGGCCAATTTTTATGAAAAGAAAAGAAAGAAATGGAGTAGTTATACATGCAGATACCCCCTTTATATATGCAAATCTGAGTTTTTGCAGGCAAACACATGCATTTTTGTGGTCTATACAACTTTGAATAGGTGACCCTGTAGTAGGGTGACCATATTTTCCAAAGGGAAAATGGGATACCACACGGGGCTGGTTCGAGACACTCACCCAAGCCCTGCCTCCCGCCCCCAACAAGGCTGTTGCTGGTTGCTCCAGCCCGCCCCCCCCCACGGCTGTTGCTGGTTGCTCCAACCCTGCCCCCCCTTCCTGTGCTGGCTTGGCATCACCACTCTCTCCCCCCACGTTCCTCAGCACCACAGCCCACTTTTTTGACAACTGGCAAAAGCAAACGGGACAAATGCCCATTTTTGCCAAAAAAAGGACGGTTGGGGCAGGGCTTAAAAAAGGGACTGTCCCAGCCAAAATGGGACATATGACTGCCCTACCCTGTAGCATGTAATGTATCTAAACTGATCTCTACTGGTAGCTGTGTGTTTAAACTATGATATTTGACTGTTTACTGACATTTGTTTCAAATCATGAGATAGCAAGTGAGGCAGCAAGATTATGCCACTACTACTTCTGCTTCACAAACATGACCATCTTGGGCCCTGACCCTGCAATGAGCTCTGCACTGGCAGATCCCCAGTGCCTACATAGAGCCTCATTGATTTCCATTAGGCTCTGAATTGGAGGTTAAGTCTTGGTTTTTACACTGATAGCAACACAAGTTTCAGCTGGAAATGATGCTCTGCACTTTCTGACCCTAAACTGCTTTTAGTGTAAGTGACTACCAGGGTCTGCCCCAATGACAGCTGTGCTTTTCAGTGGTAGGCAATTCCTGTATATGGTTTGCAGAATGTTTAAGGGCCCTTTGGCGTGAAGGGTGCAAGTTATTAATAGTAAAATGTATGGAGACTAACAGACTCTCTATTCGCGATAGGATACAGAAACAAGAGGGGTAAAGCATGTGCACTTGGCTTCATCAGCCATGCAGATCAGATGAACCAGGCTGACTATGATGAGTAATTCTGTTGTTCTGTTTACACATTGTGGAGTGACTGCCGAATTGGAAAGGTAACAAAGAACTAATATAAGGAAATGAAGTAAAATGAACAAATACAGTTGCATAACTGAAGAACCAGAATTTGCAGCTATCTACAGAAAACAATAATGGGCAAAGGTAGAGTTGAATGATTAAAGTGTTCTGCTCATAAAAGCATGTGGAACAAAAGTGGAGCTGATTGCAGGATGGCCATAGGAGGACAGTTACTCTTGCTTTCCTTGGTATACAATGTATTTAACTGATCTGGTCCATGATAATTTTCCAGGTGCCATCTTCTATCTCAGACCACTGCTTAATGAGCTACATTATCATTCTCAGACTTTCTCTTGAATGCCCCCTCTTTCCCATGTTTTCTTCTTAGGGCAAGTCTACACTACAGCGCTACATTAGTGCAACTTCACCGGTGCAGCTGCGTCACTGTAACATGTCTGGTGAAGATGCGCTACGCCGACGGAAGAGAGTTCTCCCATTGGAATGATTACTCCACCTCAGTGAGAAGTGCTGGTGTGGAAAGGGTGAAACTTGCGTGACTTGGGGGGGGGTGAGTGTGTGTGTGTGTGCATTTTAACACCTTTGAGCAACTTAAGTTAGATCAACTTAAGCGGTAGTGGAGACCTGCCTATAGTTAGCCTGATGTGTCCACTCACATTAGGTGTCTATGGATATAGGTTTGAAGCATAGCAATCTTCTCATGTACAGCAAATGTCATTCTGGGATGTATTAGCAGGAGTGTTGTAAGCAAGACACAAGAAGTAATTTTTCCCCTCTACTCCTCACTGATAAGGCCTCAGCTGGAGTATTGTGTTCAGTTCTGGGTGCCACATTTCAGGAAAGATGTGGACAAATGGGAGAAAGTCCAGAGGAGAGCAACAAAAATAATGAAAGGTCTAGAAAACATGACCTATGAGGGAAGATTGAAAAAATTGAGTTTGTTTAGTCTGGAGAAGAGAAGACTGAGGGGGGACATGATACCAGTTTTCAAGTACATAAAAGGTTGTTACAAGGAGGGAGGTGAAAAATTGTTTTCCTTAACTTCTGAGGATAGGAGAAGAAGCAATGGGCTTAAATTGCAGCAAGGGCAGTTTAGGTTGAACATTAGGAAAAACTTCCTAACTGTCAGGGTAGTTAAGCACTGGAACAAATTGCCTAGGGAGGTTGTAGAATGTTTGTCATCGGAGGTTTTTACGAACAGGTTAGACAACGCCTATCAGGGATGGTCTAGTTATTATGTAGTCCTGCCTTGAGTGCAGGGGACTGGACTAGATGACCTCTCGAGGTCCCTTCCAGTCCTATACTTCTATGATTCTGTGAGTCAAGCAGTTGCAACTGGATCTGAAGAACTGAAGGGAAGAAAAACCTCCATCAGGAGTTAGAGACCATCTGTGTATTCTTAGTAGGAACTGGAACATAGGCAGTCTGGCCTAATGGGCAGAGAAGGTGTCAGGTCTAGTGGGCAGAGCAGGCATACAGGTTGGGGAATGGAAGAGGAGGTCAGATCCAGAGTCACTGCCAAATACCGGAACCAAGGGGTTAAGTCAGACTCAGGACCAGGAATCGATGCTGAGGACTGGAGTCAGGATTAAATAAGAATGCCAGAGCGCAGGGTT